AAAGACATCGGTATCGGCCCAATGAATAGAACTGGGCCAATATTACCAACCGATATTTGCTTTCTTCTTGTTGTCATTTATTCCTGTAGGGGAAGGTGCTTAGGAGTGGATTTTATCGTACCGTTTACCATTTATCAAGGTACATTTCTTATCATGATTGTTGTCATAATAAATTTAAATTAATGATCAAAAATCCCAAAATTGTCCATATTGTTGGGATTGTTTTTTTTTTTTATTCACTGTTTGTTCAATAAAGGTGTGTCAGTAAATTTGAAAATGTGATTAAATGCAGTTGCTGTGTGCATCTTAGTGACTGAAATCACACTTCTTTACGTCATTTTGTCCTAAAGATTTGTATTACAATTGGTTGGTTTTTCAAGAGGAGTATTTATTCTTTGGGGACCAGGAACTTGGTGCCATGAATTCAGTCACACAGTTACCTGAAGAAACGAGGTAATAAATAGTTCTTATCATCACTTTTATCATTATCGCAATATTATCAAAGTATCGTGATAAAACTTTACGTTTACATTGCCCTCCCTCGGAAGAGACAACGTTGGCCATGATCTTTGTTTGTCCATGTTGAAAGAGCAGTGAAATATATACAACATATACAATGACGGAAAATATCGGTTATCAGCCACAACACCAATATTAATATCAGATATCAACAAATTTTCATCCCTGTTACTTCAGCATCATATTGAGCTGTCACCCTGCACAGATCCAGGTACTTTGGGCCAATCCGAACCAGAAAGTTTGGATAAAAGCCGAGCCGGGTTGCCGTGGCGAACAGAGCAGACACAGTTCCTCTTGCTGTAACTGTAAGAGGGCTGCGGTTCACTCCATCGGCTGAAAGGTCAACCCCCTCTGAAGACAGACGAGTCATGCCCGGAGGACGACGGAAGGCGAAGTACAGAAGACAAATGTATGGACATGCTCCGTTTCACTCAGCGCTACGATTTACACACAAATACCACGCGCCGCTACACAGCGCTACATTAAAGTCGAAGGTAGCTACTGACGCCACATCCGACACGAGTGCCGCCCGCACGCCTTCTTCGCTCTCTGGGGAGTTTTACAAGGAGAGATGACCTGCTGGGGGAGTCAAGCTGCCTGTTGAAAACACTGGCAAACAAAACACGTGCCAGATGAGCTGACATTTCTGCTCTCCAAACACCAATTTGGGCTGGCAGCATGAGATGAGCCCAGACGCGCACCCCCCCTACACCTCCACCTCCTCCAGCGGGCCTGTCGACAGACGGCACCACCTGGCTGACTGGCTCGCTCTCTCCCGCTCTCTCTGCTACTTCCCCTCTCTGACATTCTGACAACCAGCCCTGGCTACCAACGGCACGACACCACCACCACCATCGCTGGCCCCCTGTCTGCGCTGACATCCTGCTGCAGAAGCAGAGGCAGCAGCAGATGACCAGATGGGATTCTGGGAAGCTATACAACAGTCACTTCTGTAAAGAAGACTGTCAAAAGAAATTAGCGGCAAATAAAAAGAAAAGGTCATCAGCATTAGAGATCTGTTCAGCTTTTATCGAGGAGGGTGGGAGGGGGACTTCCTGTAGCAGGGAGGGGTTCTGCCTGACAAGATTTTATATTCTGATAAAATCATCTTCTGCTCAAGTCAAAATTTGGACACAAAGAAATAAATAAAAAAAAATAAAAAAAAGTGACATGCCAAACTGGCTGAGACTTGTGTGGCATGCTCTCCGGGGATCTGTAATGAATCGTTTTGGATTACGGATCCCGTCTCGCCGCCACACGTCCACATCGCCATCGCCTTACCTTTTACGTGCCCTCGTTTAGAGCCTCCGCTGTCCTCATTAGGACTTCTTCTGGGGCCAAGAAAGCCACTGATACAGAAAACGCCTCCATCTCAACCTGATATAAACGGCACTGATGCCATCATTGCTCGGCTCCCACTTCCACAGAGGATTCATATCCTGGTTCTGTCATGATCTTGGATACTTTGTGTTTTGTGTGTGTGTGTGTGTGTGTGTGTGTGTGTGTGTGTGTGTGTGTGTGTGTGTGTCAGGTTATCTCAGTGTGCGCCGTGTGTCTGGATCTAAACTCCTACAACAGGGATGCGTCTTCCCAGACATCTTTTGTGTACCGCGACTTTTTTGCGAAGGCAGAAGCAGCTACAAAATACACATGGGTAACTCGATAAAAAAAAAAAGTTGGAGAACTGTAAATGTTATTTCAGGAATTTTTTTTTGTCAACGTTCAATAGCAGAACTTAATCTGTAGCATCTCTTTTTCACAGATCTGTGATTTATAGTAGATTTCTTTAAACCAGGTTGGGTGGATGAAGAGGAGAGGAGGTCAAAGTTGCATCTTTCAGCAGTGGTATAAACAGAAAACTAAAAAAAAAGCTAAATTAAAACAAAAATGAACAGACTTATGGACAGAATAAAGATGTGGATTGATAGAGGTCGGACAGACGATCCAAAAGAATAAATGAAACTCATCTAGAGCTGCTAATACTACAAAAAAAAAAAGACAACTTATTCTTATTTCAAAAATCTACTGTATATACACTTTGTTGTCATTTCTGAAAAATCACTATTTGGTTTCCATTTCTAGGTTATTAGAAAAATGGGATGAAAACAATCCCTTCTATATGATGTTGATATTTATGGAAAATTAAGTGAAAATAAAACCAGATATTTCTAAGAATACATTACTGGTCCTTTAACTTTTATTCTGTTGTGGAATTCAATCATATAAGAAAAAAAACATTGTGGAAGCACCAAAGTGTCACAGTTTGCAGACTTTTTCAAAACATTTTCAGACTACAACGTGACCCTGTTCATCTTTATAAGCTACTTTTTGTATCCGCTCAAATGTTCTTTATATTTTTCTAAGTTTAAACTTGCTGATCAAAAAGAAGAGGCTGTCTCATTGCAGGTTACACAGGAAAAACCACAAATGATCAAAGAATCCACAGTGAGAGGTAAAACATCTTACAGCATAAAAAAAAGCAGTGTGACGGCAGCAAGTCAGTGTCTACAAAATATCTTGCTCTCTAATAGAATCTCATTAAGAAAAAAAACTATAGTAAAACAGTCTTTTTTTCTTTTTAAACAAGTCATTATAGTGTCATTAGCAGGATTAACGTCTTGTGATGAGTGCGCTGGCAGCCCTCAGAGATGAGTACCTTTGTCTAATCAGTTTTCGAGCATCACTCTTCTTCTCGCCTAAAAATGATCACTTATGGCTTTGAAATAGAAAAATGGCAACAAGCAAATGATTGAGAGCATCCAAACAAAGTATTTCATGAGGTCACAACGTCCTTCACTAATGTCTCATAGTAATTAATGGGAGCTTAAAGACATCATACTATTTGTATTTTCTTGTAACCCGTCTCCCGGGTTACAGAAAATATCAAATTAGATATATGTGTTAAACTGAGTGTGATATGCGTGACAAGCAATGAGTAATTAATTCACATATTGGTGCCAACATGTGAAACGAACAGAGCATCATTTGTTTGCACCTTGGTAAAGAGGAATAGAAAGACTTTTTAAATATAACAGAAACAATTTTTAATTTACACATTCCTTTAAGTCAAGTCAAGAGTTTTATGGAATGACTAATGAGTAACCTATAAGTTTAAGTTTTCCCTGCAGTCTGACTAGGATGTGACACAGAGGCTCACTTCTCTTGGGGATTAACCGCCAGGCAGAACCAAGTCACATGTTTGAGCTGCACGGAAACCAATGGTTAAAAATGTGAAGAACAGATGAATAAAAGCTTACAGCTGGAAAACTGCAGTGGCTGCTATTGTTGAGCTACCGAGACTCTATGCAAGCCTTTAGACACCACACATATATGAAAAAAAGATTGCTAAAGAGTGATACCAGGAAAAGAAAAAGAAAAAAAAAATTTTTCCTCTCTTAACATCATAAACGTAAACCCTACTGAGATTTTTATCTGGAACGGCTTTGGTCAGATGAGACAAAATTGAGCTTTTCAGCACGGAGTATGAAATATATGCTTTTGCAGAAAAGCACATCTTGTTTGCTGGTTACCATGAAGGAAGGATCTGTGATGCTATGTCTTTCTGGTAACCTTATCAACTCTTCGAAATGTCAGTTTAAACTAAAATGTAAAAAAAAAGATCTAATGGATTTCGCCCCAAAACTGGAAATGTAACGCCATCGTGTTTTTTAACCAAATAAAGTAAGACAAATAGACAGAAATGGCTTCCCAGACACCTAATCTACTTTCTTTAAAGTCTCAGTGAACTAAACACAAGTGTCCTATTTGCAAAAGTCTGACTTTGTTTAAAACAATTATTTGTTAGTATAGAATGTCTTTACCACTAAGTGAATATTTACCAAGTTACAGATTAGATTTTTGGATCATTTTCTGTGTTACATTATCTTCTCGTAACAAAGTCATTTATTTTGGGGCGTTTCACTAGAGATGCACAGATCCGGTATTGATATTTGTATCGGTTCTGATATTGGAAAGAAGTTGAGAAGGGGTATCCATTAGGGCAGATCTATTCAGTCTAATTCTATACTTTGAGCAACGTCATGCTCTATTATTTATTTTACATTACATTTAGAACTCCTAATTGCACTTTCTGAACCATTTGAAAGAAGGTTTGTTGCATTATTTTTTTTACATTTTTGGCCAAGATGGTCAACCTGTTGTTTTATCAGTCTCGGTATCTTTATTATTTATTTTAATTTGACCATTTGATTCCTAATTACACCGTTGTGTTGTTTTTACATGTTGGACCAAGCCATTGGTGTATTTAAGTGTGTTGATCCAATCCAATTTTCTGTAAAGGATCGGTATCAGCCGATACTAAACCTCATGTATCGGTATCGGAAGTGAAAAAAGCGGATCGGTGCAGGTACAAGCCCTCAAATTGGGTGTCGATAATCGTAGCTAGCACTGAGCATTTAGTAGTGCTAGCTACGGTACCACACGGTACCACTGAGATGGGATTCGGGGAGGAGAGTTCTAACCTGCAGCAGCCGGGTCTTGTCGTATTCTCTGCGGTGCCGATAGATACACTGGCTAAGGAGGGAGTAGAGTCTCTCCAGCTGCTCCACGCTGTAGCCCTCACTCTTCTTTACCACCATACTCAGCAGAACCTGCAGGAAACATGTAAACGGAGATGTTACAAGGAACACATTAACGTTTTAAACATTCTGGGGGAAAAAATAAAAATAACTCAAATGCATATCATGAATTATTACCGTGTTTACAGAGAGAGACGGTAATGATACAGACACAGGCAGACAGTCGTACGTGGCCGTATGACCTGGCACGTAAAGCGAAGCCTGGCGCGGCGAGTGGCGCTTGGAGATGCGGCATTTAGAAGTCAGAAGTATTCAAAGGCAATTAGGATCAGAGTGACAGCTAATTAAAGGTAATCATAATTAGAACTAAGTTTACATTTCACTGCTACTTTAATTAAAACATTCGGAGCAGTCGAAGGCTCTTCTAATTGACCTGTTCTTCACATTTTACCCAAGTCAAAGTCAGCTACTCTGTGCGGGTTTAGTCAAACGCCGGGCTCATCAGAATGCAAAGGGCTGCGACTGCAAAGGCACAATAATTAATGTTATCACCCCTGACACCAGGCAAACAGGGAAACCTCCACAGCAATAAACTTGCGCATATGTGTGTGTGTGTGTGTGCGTGCGTGCGTGTCTTTTGTACCCGAGGTAGGCAGTGTCCATGTGTCTAAAACAAAAATCAAGGCGATATTGTGATTAATAAGACATGCGTGTTTGTCAGAGCCTTTCATCAATGAACATGTGAGAGGTAATTACAGTGAACAGGGAGGAGGGAGGCGTGTGGGGGGATTACAGAGGTAAAAAAAAAAGGGCCAGCAGCGTATTAATCACTGAACTTCATCTAACAATGATCTGCGGTTAAATAAGAGCGCCTTGATTAAAGCTAACATATGAACAAGCACCAAGAGAAACTTCACTGCCCTTTTAGGTGAAAATTTGGCCAAATCAAACAATTCTTTGCTTTTTTTTTTTTTTTCTTTGTTCCTTAGCTCAAACTGTTCCGACCGAAGCTGCCGAGTTTTAAACCGACTGAATCTTACAGCTGTTACCGACGAGGTCTCAACAGCAGCAAGCAGGAGCAAAGCGCCGCTTAAAAATAGAACAGCTGAGACATTATAAATGCAACATTATCACAATGTTATGTTTGAGTCAATGTAAGGAGGAAACAGAATATTTGTCTTGGGGATTTTTTTCTGTGTGTACTGACTGTTTTCAATAATGCTGCTGCACATTTGTAAGCATTTTGTGATGTCAGCAACAAAAGCATTGTTACCTGCTGTAATGACATCATCATATTACGGGTGATGTCACCTGTGATGGTGGCATCAAATCAGCGTCACAATTTGAGTGACATTAAATGTGTAATTCAGTAAAACCTGAATTAATGGTTTGATTATCTGTGGCTGAAGTACTGAACCTTTGGTTCTGAAGCTACAAATGGCAGAAAAAGATGAAGAACTGAGCATTGGATGTACATGTTAAGATAATAAATGATAGTGTAAATAGTTCTTCTGCTGCTCGTTTCCATTGTATTTCCACTACAGAATGAAAGCAACATTGAAAAGTTGCATTTTTTAGAGTGTCATTTGTTTGTTCTTTTGATTGAAACTTAACAGAAATAAAATGTTGGTTCTTTCTTAAAAATTTAATAAGAATTATATTAACTTTTTCTCAGAAATAATGTTTCTGTGAGTTGGAAGCACTGCTGACCCCAGATCGTAAGGTACTCTATATGTACTAGTCATGAATAAATCAAATGAAGAGGCACACACATGCTTTTATTGCTTCCTGAGTGCACACGAAAAGTCTACATGAGGCTTTATTTGCATAAATTATTGGTGTTGCAAGCAGAACTGCAGTTTACTAGCTTGTTTATGGAATTAACAGAGGAGATCCAACAAGCAGTCCTCTGCTGGCTTAAACTCATTTCTGCTCTTCTTTAAGGACTTTTAACACTAAAAAATGTGCAGTAGAAAGATCATAGCTGTTACTTTCAACAAAAACCGCATGTTTCTCACCTTTACTTGAATTTTAATAAACTCGAAAAAGGGCATCAAACCATACGGTGTTCAGATGTTTGCAGATTTCAGCTGCCAATCAGAAATAGCAGCTGATCAGCAGAGAATTGGTCAATTCCCATCTTTGGCTGATTGATTGGTGCAGCTCTAATTAACAGCAATGAAGAACTAAAATAAATGCACTCAGTCAAATCCAAGCCATAACGCCATAAATACCCAGATTAACGTTTTTAGCAAGCTTTAACTGTTATTTTACATCAAAAAGTGTCTGTAACCGTTTTTTTCCTGTTTGTTTTTATTTGAACTGAATTTAATCATATTTTCTGCCTTCTGTTTTTCGGAAATTTAACACCAAATGAATTAAATCATACACTCCATCTTGTGCTATTATTAAATCAGAAATAAACATTGGGATTTAATCTGATTTTTGGTTTCACATATGGCCTGTTGGGTCCCAATTAGTTCAAACTGGATGAACATCTGTGAAATGTTTTTTAATGTTAGTACTTAACTCTAAGCAAATAAAGCCAGTCTTTCTGTATACAGCCCACACCAACCAGATTAAGTCTTTATTCAGCAGTTAAAAAGTTACAAAAACGAAAACTTACGTTTTTATAATGCTGTGTTGTACCCCACATATGCACAATTTACTTCAATTTTAGACTAGACACAGCTAAAACATTGACTATTATTAAGAAGGAAGAAAAATCTGTTCACCTTTTGAACCCAAAAGCGAGGAAACAGGACTGGATGCATACATTTATAAACTTAATTCCTGAAGAGTTCTTCATAAAAACAAAGAGAATGATGAACAAGCCTGACAAGCCACTTCATGAGACTGTTATAAAACTGTCTTCAGCCAGAGGCTTTTTCAGATACGTTGTAGCACAGACTGCTACAGGAAATTCTTCCTGCACACCGCCATAAGCATCTACAACAACTCTGAAGAAAACATTTAATTTCCCTCTGTGATTCATAAAGTTTCTTTGACTTGAATATCTTTCAAACATTCACATGTGCAGCATGGTAGGATAAGATTTTAACCTGAAAACCTCCAATTGGTCCTTCTAGTAAATCTAAATAATAGCTATACATAAAACACACACTCACAAACCTTTACAGGCTTTTGTAATAACATTGTGGACAATAACAAAAAATAAATAAATAAATCTAACTCAATCATTAGACACTGACTATGTCCTGCTGGTGTCTGTTTTGTGCTTCAGTGTCAAATCGTTTCTTTGCTTGGATCAATTCAATACAGCTCAGAGATTTAAAAAAAAAAAAAAAAAAAGGGATAACATTGCTGTCAGATGCCTTTTTAAACAGCCACGCCTAAAAAGCTCCAATCAGCATCATTTCGACCCGTCGCGCAAACATGAGAACAGGAAGGTAATTTTCCAGCCTTCCCTTTGTGCCACAACTGCAGCATTCCTTTCCATTTCCATCATGCTTCTGCTTCAGTATGATAGAGAGAACACCTTTTTTCCTTTCCTCCGTAATGCAAGTCCTAACCTCGAGCTATACTCAGTGTGTAACAGAGCCTCTCCTCACCTCATTTTCAGCCCCATTTTAACACTTTTGAACAACAAAAACCTCTGCTTCCAGCATGTTTGTCTTTTCTCTCTTTTCATGTTCCACATTTTTCTTTTCCTCCTCCCCTGTCCGTCCTCTCGCTTTCTTCTCTGCCTCGCGCAAAGCTGATTGCAGCAGTTTACTTCCCGGCCCTTATTCTTGCCGGCTTGATCGGGATGCCGCCGTCAGTGTGTGGTAAATGGTGTGCGAGTGTGTCTTACACAGGCTCAGTGACTGAGTGAGCTCGCAGCACACAAAAGGCCAGTAATCCCTTGCATTAAAGACTACTACTGACATGGGCCATTTAACCTTAGCCCTCTAAACTCCCTGCACTATTGTCCCCTCCCCATCTTTCTTCACATCTCTATTCTCAAGTGTCTTCAGACCACAGATCGAGTTTGTGGGATGCTTCTGCTGGAAGAGAACAAATCACGATAGTGATATACGGAGCTATAGTGCCTTACAAGAATATCCCTACTTCTTACATTATTTCACATTTTGTCATGTTACAAATACAAATTTTAAAGGTGAGGTATTATGCTCCTTTGAAAAAAAAAAAAAAAAGGATTAATCCCGTCGCCTATACAAAACATGTTCATTAAATTGCACAAAATCATTCTTAGATAATGAGATAACCTGCTGGCTTTACCGCCCAAACTCAGCGTTTACACTCGCATGTGAAAATAGTTGCAAACAGATGCACAAATACACAACCATACATTTTTGAAAAGCAAAAGTTGAGCCTCCTGCACAACCAACAAGAATACAACAAAAGGTTGTCATTTCCAGTGGCCATTGGTCGACTGTGGCTCTGTGACTGAGGGTAGAGTTGTCATCTTGTGATCGGAAACTTGTACGTTTGATTCCAGCTTCCTCCTGGTGTGTCCCAACTCATCTCCGAATTGCCTACCAATTTGAGTATCGGTGTATAAATGTGTGCAACATTTGTGAGTGCAAACGTACACACAGTGTCGTGACTGTTGAATCCAACTTAATTGGAAGGTTTTTGAAATGGCTCATTTTCCAGACACCAAAAAGTTTAACTTAAACCGGCTGTTTTTTTTTTTTTTTGTTTTTTTGTTTTTTGCTTTTTTGTTTTTAAGTGCTTGGGCTGTTTTTAGAAGGAGTAGAGACCCAAATGGGTGTATAAAAATGCGCAAAATGTGACTTTTTACACAATAACCCCTAGGGTATATAGGGTTGGGGTACTTTTAATTGGTTTTCATAAAGTACTTATTTCCAGTAAATAAATAATGAATAGCATATAAGTGAATTCTAATGATTTTTCCCCCCCTAATAAACATGCATTTTTATTTTACTTGAAGTCTGATTTCACATTTTGATGCCTTGAAATTGCCCTCTGTCTCTTTAAGAAGCTTCTGCTCTTTTAGCAATTCATCACGACAGTAACCACTTGTAACCATTCTCAGGAAGCTCGGCCAGAGAGTGAGGCTCCGAGGACGAAGTTTGTGGAAATAG